GGAAGGGCAGGGCCCTGGGAGGGGGCTTCACGGTCTCTAAACTCTGTGTCCACGTGCAGTCACCTTCTCAGGCCCTGGGGTCAGGACTGGGGCCTGCTGTCCTTCACCTGGACAGCTCCTCCCCCTGCAGAGTGGCCACTCTGGGCCCTGGCCTCCGGCCTCTGGGGCTGCGGGGGCCCTGGGTGACCCTGTCTTGACCTTGAGCAGAGGGAGGGTGGCCCGTCCCTGGGGTTTCCCTGGAGGGAGCGGGGATTAGCGGGGCTGACCCTGGCCTGCGCGTCCACAGGCATGCTGCCCGACCCCAAGAACACGCACATCGTCATCAGCTGGATGATCGCGCAGACCGTCACGGCGGTGGCCGGCGTGGTCTCCTACCCCTTCGACACGGTGCGGCGGCGCATGATGATGCAGTCGGGGCGTAAGACAGGTACTGACCCGGGCCTGGGGGCGGCGGGGGCTGCAGGGGGTCCCGAGGGACAGGCTTCTGTCCCTGCGGCAGTCTGCACGTCCAGGGAGCCGTGGTCCTGCGGGGGGACTCGGCTGACCCTGCAGGGGGCGGCCCGCGGGCACCTGGSAGGCAGCAGGGTCTCTGGTCCGAGCTCCGGCCGCAGTGACCACGTCAGGCGGCCCCCGGTCTGAGGCCCCCGGGGTGGGTGGCGTCCGCCCTGTCCCTCCTGACCGCCCGCCCTGTCCCCGCAGCGGACATCATGTACACGGGCACCGTGGACTGCTGGAGGAAGATCTTCAAGGACGAGGGCGGCAGGGCCTTCTTCAAGGGCGCCTGGTCCAACGTCCTGCGGGGCATGGGTGGCGCCTTCGTCCTGGTGCTCTACGACGAGCTCAAGAAGGTCATCTAGGCGCCCCGAGCGTCGCCGGGGCCGTCCGCCAGGGACCAGAGGGTGGGAGCGCCCACCGCCAGGGACCATGGACCTTCCAGAAATTCCCGTCTGTCCTGGCCAGGGTGTCTGTCGGGGCCGGGGCGCTGAGGGACTCACGGTGACCTGTGACCACGGACGCCCCGCTCCGCGCGCGGGTGCCGGGCGTCCTGACCATGTCCTGCGGGCCCCGGGCAGGCCCCCAGGCAGACCCAGAGTCCAGAGCTTGTAGGGCCCRCGTGAGTATTTATTTAACAGAACCGTGTCCACTCCCCAAGCACTAGCCGCTGCGCACAGCGAGTCCGCAATCATGTTCCCTGTGGCACCTGCCGAGAAATAAACAGGACACCACGGCCGCGTGCGCACCCTGCCTGGGCCTGGGGGGGGTCGCGGGTCAGCAGGACGCTGGGGGGACAGAGGGTCAGCCGGGCTTCCCTGGGCAGGACAGGCTTCTGGACGGTGGCCTCCTGTYGGGGGAGCAGCTGAGGCTCTGGAAGCCCGAGGTCCAGGATCAGCTGAGGCTGTTCCTGCCCCTAGAGGCACCTCCTCCTGGGTCCTCCATGGTGGACGGGCAGGGGCTCTCAAGGTCTGTCCGAGGACCTTYGTCCCCTTCATGGGCTGCTCCTGGGAGCTCCGACCTCCCAGAGTCCCCTCCACACCAGGCTGAGGGTTAGGGTTAGGGAGAGCTCGGGCCCAGAGGTGACCCATGAGCTTGGCCGTGTCCTGCAGAAGCTGGGGTCCAGCCTCGGGGAGTGACCTGGGCCTCAGGGTCCCGGGGGTCCCCACTGCGGGTCCTAGGAGCCACCCTCTGAGCCCAGGGTCAGGTGTGGGTCACTTGGCCAGTGTCCGTCCCTCCTGCAGCTCCCGGGGTAACCTGACCCTGAGCCCCAGCTGGCCACCGGGGTCCCTGATAGGGCCAGCTGGGACCTGACRTGGGCACCCTGGTGACTGGAGCCTGGTGACATGAGTTTCCTGGTCCCTGGGGCCACTGTCCTAGGAGGTCAGTCTGCAGGTCCCTGCTTCCTGCCTCTGCAGAGGCTTGTCACAGCCTGGTATCAACTCAGGTTTTTTCTCTCCTTGTCAAGGACAGCCCCAAGCTGAGCTGAAGGGCCAGTGGGTGACCCCAGGGCCATTTCCTGGGAAGTCATTGCTTGTGGAGGTCACTGTCCAGTGGGGGTCGTGCTTAGGGAGCACTTGGTTAAGTCCGAGCAGCAGCTGAAGTCACTCCCGGGCTCTGGGGCCACAGACTGGGAGCCCTGTCCATCTTCCATAGTGACCACCTGGGGTCGGGGTGGGGACAGGCAGGCCTTGGGGGAGGGGCACCTAAAACCCAGCTTCAGAGACGACTTCGGTGACTGACAGGAGACAGGGATCCCTCCGCGGCAGGACCCGACTCTGTGGCCAGGCGCGGCCAGTCCCCCTGGTCCTTGGGCGGAGCAGCCTGGGTGGCGCAAGTCCCTTGAGGGCCAGTGAGCAGGCGGGACACCAGGTGGAGGTGGACCTGATGCTCGGCTTTTATTCTCCGGCAGCGTGGGCTCTGCATGTCTGTCTCCTGTCCCTCCCTTGGCACTGTCCACTGGTCCTGCAGCCTGGCCTGGGGCCGCCCTGCAGTATGACAGCCTGCGGGTCCTATGCTGGGCCATCAGGGCTCCTCCAAGTCCTGCACCTGGGCCACTGGACAGTCGTCTCCCACTGCCTCCAGGGCCAGCTGTGGGGACGGGCGGGCTGTTAGCAAAGTCACTGGGGTCCTCGCACCCGGGGCTGGAGGTCCCACCCCACTACCATGCTGTCTGCTGGGCAGGGCAGTGGCCACCCCACGTCCGACGACATACCATCTCGCCATTGGGCACGTGGTCACAGACGGTCGCTTTCACGCGGGGGACGGGAGGGAACAGCCTCTGCATCAGGGAGAACCTGGGAGGAGAGGGACGCGGGCTGGGAACCCAAGGCCACCACCGCAGGCAGGGCCCAGGGGGGCGGGGATCCGCGGAGASGACCCTGAGGTCACTCCTCACCGCGACCTCCTGGGACCCAGAAGCCCACCACCCAGCAGGGCCTCCCTCGACCCCGGCCAGCCCCCTCCCACCTGCAGGGCTTCTCCCCTGACCCCAAGCACAGCCCTCAGTGTGGATCTGGGGGCAGGGGTGGCCTCGGCTGGTCACTTGGGATTCCTASTCCAAACTCCTGACCTGAGCCTGCGACCCGACCCCAGCTGACCCTCCAGGCTAGCGCCCCCTCCCAGGACTGTCCCCTGCCTGCAGCAGGTGGCCACCACTGAAGGGGACGAGGAGGGGCTGGACCAGGAGGGGGACCCTGGATCTGAGTCCCTGATTGGGATGTGGCTCCTCCCCTCGGGAACTTGGCGTCCGCTGCCCCAAGAGGCCTGGGAACCGGGCTTCCCTGAGGGACCCCATGGCCTCAACCAGGGTCCCCTACTCGGAGCCCAAGTGGGGCTGGATACCGGGACGTGGGGTCCCCCCAGCGGTCACCTACCGTCTGCAGAGGAGCAGCCCCAGCAGCACGATGGCCAGCGTCCCACCCGCCGCCAGCAGAGAGGTCTGCAAGACGCGCGAGGGCCGGTCCTCATCAGGGTCACACTCTGAGCGRGAGGGGACAGCAGGGCTCACGTCCGGGGCTGCCCCATGGCCCAGGATGGGCYCCAAGGGGAGGGGGCGGCAGCCCTCCCTGCGACGCCCTGCAGTCACTGAAGGCCAGGCCGGGCAGCCCCGGGCTCCCTGGAAACCTGCGCCCTCTGGTCAGCGTGGGGTCACTAGAAGGAATTACTGCCCCTTGACACTGGTGCGTCCACCTGGCCTGGCCGGGCCCTCCTCGGGGGCGGAGACGGAGGGGCCAAGGGCAGAACGTGCCATCCCCGCTGTCCCCCCCCCCCAGGGACCCGCCATCCTCGGACGAGAGGGACCGGGAAGCTGCCYACTCACGACCCTGGGGACCCGGGAGGCCGCCCACTCACGGAAGCTCTGGGGGGCGCCCCAGGGGCTCCAGCTGCTGTAGAAGTTCCTGTTGTCCTTGACCCTGATCCTCACCTGGTAGTTGCCGGGATTGGGCAGCAGGAAGCGGTTCGTGGGAATCTGGGGCCAGGGGAGGGGAAAGAGTCGGACGTCCACTCCCACCCAGGGCCTGGGGAGAGCAGAGGGGCCCCGGGGACGGCTGAGTTGTGTCCCCCCCCCCCCGACTCTCTTGATTTGGGGACGAAAGCAAACTTTGCAAGATTCTCCTTGAAGGGGGTCTGTGGTGCCCACACGCRGAGCCCGTCCAGTGGGGGCCAAGGGACAGTAAAGATGAAAACCATCTCGCCCTTGGAAGTGCCCAGTTCCGTGGGGAAGAGGGGCCGGGTCCACTCACGGTCTCATGGAAGCYGCCTCCTGAGCTCTGCAAGATAAAAGTCCAGGAGTCCTGAGAGAGGCCCCAGCCACAGGTCCCCCAGGGGCCACCAAACCAGAGGGGAGGGTGCTGGGACAAGAGGTGGCACGCCGAGCCCTGAGCTTAGCGTCACGGGCCACGGGTGCGGGGTTCTTGGGCACCCATGACCAGGACCCGATAAGTGACGATGTGACAAGTCCGTGTATTTCCTAAGTGAGATGCTTTTTATTACTCACAGATGTCACCTTCCATACGTGTGCACTGGCTCTGGGAATCGAGCCCAGGAGAGCCACACTAATGAGCCACGGAGCCGCACCCCATTTTCACTGTCATTTTGAGACAGGGTCTTCGCTAAGTGGCTCAGGACCCTGCTAAGTTGCTGAGGCTGGCCTCCATCTGGCCATCCTCCGGTGTCAGCCTCCCCAGTAGCTGGGAAGAGAGGCCTGCACCCTTGCTCACATCCATCACACCGTTGAGTCCTGTGAGCGGAGACTGCCTACCCCCAGGACCGGAAGAGAGCCCCGGTGACAGACGCCGAGAGCSCCACTGGGGCCAGTTTACCTTGTTCACTTGGAGCTGGTACTTGAAGTTCTTGTTGAAGGGGCTGAACACCCTCCACTCCATGAGCGAGGACGACTTGTTGCACTTGGCAGTGATGTTGGGAGGACTCAGTCTCTCTACGGAGCGGAGAATCCATGAGGAAAGCAAATGGGAAGACCTTTTATTTCTGTCAAATTATTTTAAATACGACGCATAAATTAGGGGATGGGGAAAAGAGAAGGAGGAGGAGGAGATGGAGGAGGAGGAGGAGGAGGAGATGGAGGAGGAGGAGGAGGATATGGAGGAGGAGAAGGAGGAGGAGGAGGAGGAGGAGGAGGAGGAGGAGGAGGAG